TCTAGTTTCACAAATGAGTATCGTTCAGCCCGGAAGGATACAAATCTTAATGTAAGCCTAAGATCATTTTAGTATTCCTTTAGGCTTATGCCATTCTATTAAATATTCCTTTGGTGCATTTTATGCTGATATTTTACGTCTTAAAGCATTTTTATTGCTTTGTAAAATATGATTGTTGAGTTCTAACTGGTAACCAGATAGAAAAGCACTGAAAAAAGTAATAAGTTTTACTTGCTTTAACATCTCCAAAATTTTGGATGGTATGAATTTGACCTCTTTTTCCTCATAGAAATTAGTGGTAATCTTTCCAGGAAATTTTCCTTCCTAGTTGGATGAATTGAAAGTTTGTACTCACTCTCCTATGCTACTTTCAGATGGGACAGTGGCATGCTGCAGATGAATATGATGGTCAAGTGAGAGAGATTACATTCAGATCCCTTTGTAACAGTCCCATGTGCCCTCCAGACACTGCCATGACAGAGTATCAGCATTCTGTTTTATCATCAGATAACAAAAAGCTTGTATGACTTCTTTTCTTATCAGTTCTGTCAATTCTTATTTAACAGTAACATTGGTAGTTTTTACCTTTATTTTAGTAAACTTAAGTTGTCTCACTTTCTTAGTCAAAAAAGTCATCTTCTTGTGATATACCGGCCTAATTTTTCATTTTATTGTATTTTTTTTGTTTGTTTTATTTAATAAATTTAGTCAATTTTCTCTCTTCTTTGTAGGTTTTTGAAACTGTGCAACAGGCACATGATGTTCCATTTGGCTCCTACTTTGAGGTATGTATTAGTTGGACATCTTGCTTCTGGGTTTCAAATTTATTGTTATAGATCCCACAGACACTTTGGCGTGCACAGGTTCCTTGTAGTATTCTCAGTGGCTCTGCAATCAATATTGTGCTTCCACTCCAATAAATAATTTAATTAACCTCTGACCCCAATAAACATCACATATTTTATGGATGGTTTTCTACGACAACATCCTCCGTTTGTTGTCCTATAATTTTAGGAAAAGAAATTGATGTTTCAAACTCATAGGAACACCTTAACTCAACCCTTTTACTGAAATCATGGCTACTACTATTCCATTTTGTATCTCTACCAACAATGATCAGTGCTGCATTCATAACCAATGTTAGAATTATGGATGCTCATTATTTCAGCTGTTCCAAATGTACAGCCCAAAACATATTATCACCTAGTCCAAGTAAGAGAGAAATTGCAGCTCACATTGTTGCACAAGGCAAACTCCATTTGCAAACTGCCACATTAGTCTGCTTGCTGGCATTGGTTGCATGTGTATGTTCATCAGCTTACTGTATACCACCCTCACTGCTGTTGATCATAATCTGCTACCTATTCTAGCCTTGCCTTTTATTCTCCAGCTGATATAAAAGCAGGGAATAAATGAAGGCGAACGAAAGGACAAAGGTTCTCCGATGCACTACATGTGCTATAGCCTGTTGTAGTCTTAGATATTCAGATGAGGGCCAGATCTGTCACATGCAACTGGAACTATTTTGCAGGTTAACTGGTCACATTCTTGCCAACAGCAATAGAGTGATATGCTGGATATAGTGTTGATGGTTTATATGCTTGGGTATATATTGTGATGTGCTGGATATGCCATTATGGTATGAACAATTTGGTGTTTTAGGAAATTTGTGCTTTCAGTTCAACAGTTCTAACTTCCTAGGACGACCTATTTATTTATTTACTTGTGTGTGTGTGTGTGTGTGTGTGTTTATATGTCTCATGTTTTTGTGCTGTTCATCTTTTAGCTTCTAGATTATTTGTGACATCATTTTATTTCTGCTGCATCAGGTTCATTGTCGGTGGTGTGCAGAGACCAATGGTGAAAATTCATCTGTTCTAGATATAAAAGTGGGTAAGTTTTGGGTTGGCTTTTATCTCTTGACATTTTTTTTCCAGTGCATATGGAGATCCATTGGTTCTTGAGCCACACAATGGGAGGTAGCCCTCTCTCACTCAAAAACCCACCCTTCCATTGCATGATTCAACTTGAGACCTCAAGTTGGTGTCTCAAGTTCTAACTGCTGGGATATCCTCATGGAGGCATCTCTTGATGACTTTTTCCATGCTTTAGTTCTGTTCCTGATAAAACATTTATGAGAGATGGTCTTTTAATCTTGTTTTACTACAACAAAGATGAAGAATGAAAAAGAAAAGAACTTACGTCCCTTGCATGGTTTTCGATTATACTAACATATGATGTTTAGCTCCTGGTGCTAATACATTGAGATTTATGCTGCATTTATTGTATGTCATGAACATAGAATAATTAACGTGTAAATGCATTGTGATTTTCTCTTACTTGTTAGAATGACCACCAACAGGCAGCCTTTATGTTGGGTCAGGGTCTGGCTTGGTTTGTTGGCTTTTAAGGTCAATATAGGTTGAGCTTAGTTGGGTTTCAGTTATGTTCTACATTTAACTCTATGAGCAGATAGAAATCAGTTTGGGCATTGTCAAATTTTATTTAAGGGCATTTTTCCGTCAAGCTATTTCAAGTCAGCGACATTACAGATTCAGTTGCCATTAGGTTCGTGCCAAGTTGAGTTGGGTTTGGGCAGGTTCGGTTAGCCCAGTCAGGTTATGTTTTACCACCTCTAATCAGTAACCTTACCACCCTTTTCATTGTTAGGCAATACGTCAGGAATACTAAAGGCAGGTACATAGTTCTTGTCTAAATATAGGTTTTGAAATTTGAATACATGATCTCATGCCTTCTACTCCCCTAATTATTTTTGTCTTAGGTTGGTTAGGTTGACTCTCCAAAGTCCAAATACAATCCTCATTAAAGCATCGTAGTTCAAAGCATTAAATATTTTCTTAATCTGGAAGTTGATGGATTAGACTAAGGGGTGTTTCAATTTTTACAGGTGCACATTTTAAGAAATGGTGTGTGATGCAATCGAAAATTAGGGCAGGGGCTATCAATGAGGTTGGTACTGCAGCAGTTGAACAATGGTCCTCACTGATCATAATTATGAATTCCATTCTTCAAAAGCTTTTAGCTTTTTTTCTTTCGTAAACTAGCCTCAAATTTTGAATAGGTTGAATTTAATATTATACCGTCTTTCCATGTAGTACAAGAAAGAGGTGGAGTTGATGTTGGATGTTGCGCGCTCATATATCAAGTCGCATACTGCCAGTGGTGAGACCAATAACTCCTCATCCTTACCCTCAGTTAGTCAAGAGATCAGCTAGCAGCAACAGCTCCTTAAACTAGGGTAATCAAATTCCCCTTGATTTTATTGTATAATTTGTTTTCTTTTCTTTTTCTCAATATATGGAATGTAATCTTCATACGTAGAGCTACCAGGGTTTTTTGCAATGTCCTAGGCATTAAATCTTCTTGTATAATATAGCCTAACCCGGTCTCCTGTGGAAGGGCCTGTTATTGTAATGCATTTTTCCATGTAATGGCAACCTTAATATTTCATTGCATGGGCACATTCAACGAATATCTTAATTTATATGTAAATAAAAGTACATGATTTCGCTGTGAAATCCTTGATGTTTGCATTTGATTGGCTTGATTCCACTCTGGTATTAACATGGTTTAGTCCTGTACCTTTGGTTAATTTATTTGGTTCAAGCACTCTTCAACAACTGAGATTTCAAGTCCAACATCCTATTTCTTTCAAATATATTTAAACGGTTGAGTCAGCACATCAACTTAAGGCTCTCTTATTTATTTATTTTTGTAATTTTTACTACTTGCTAACTGTTGATGGTTTCATATTTTTTAAAAAATTTGCAGGAAATATTTTTTACTTGGACCGTTATAATACTTCCAATAAAAACATACTTTGTTTGTTAAATTATGCTCAATTAATTACATTTTTAATAGCCCGTATTGCTATTCTAAACAAAAACATATATATAATTAAAACTAAAATCAAATAATTATCAATGAATTATAAAAGTTAAAGATTTAAATAATTTTTCAAATTATATCAAGTAAGTCAATTTAATCTTTATATTTTTATTACGTTCAAATAAGTCTCTAAATTTTTATTTTGAAACAAATAAGTCTCTCTCAAATAATGTGACATATGGATGTATTATTTTGATGATATCAATATCATATGACAAATGATGTAACATAAAAAATTATTAATTAAGAAATGAGTTTTTTCTTTTTATCTATTCAAATGTTTAAAAATTATTAGTTAAGAATTTAAAACAAAAAATTTAAAAAAAAATTAATTGCTTCAATGTTTGTTAACTGATTACTATTTTCTTGAATTAAATTGACTTTCTTGATATAATTCGAGAGTTTATATGAGTATTTAACCATTTATAAATATAAGCAAAATGCCTAAAAGCTATTTAAACTATTCAAAAAAATCATATAAATCTTTCTTTTTATTTTTTATTATATTCAATTAAACACTTTTTGTTTCATTCAATTAAAATTCATATATATTTATTTTAAATCAAATAAATTTTAAATTAATAATTAATTAACTGTTATTAATCAAAACATCATTTATTATTTTATGTCACGTGATGTCAATATGACATATTAACATATTATAATAAATAATGCTATAAAATACTTGTATGACATGATGATATAATCTTGAAATAATTTTACTTTCTGCGTTAATATAATGTAATATAAAAAATTAAAAATTAGAGTTTTATGATTAACTATTGATTAATTTTTAGTCATAAAAATATATTTAATTTAAAATAAAAAATAAAAACTTATAAAATATAATAAAAAATAAAGATTTATTTAAAATTTTTAAATAATTAAAATGTTTTTAAAATGTTAGGCCATCTGATAAACTTGGCAAAATCAATTTCAAGAGACACTGACAAAGAAATACTATTTTATTCCATCTGACACACCGTTAAATTTTTAAATCGTTAAAAAATTGCGTTTAAAGTTGAACGACATCGTTTTGTTTCCAAAATCCATCTTCCAGTTCCAGAGAACTTCGTTCGCGTTGTTTGTTTTAAGGAGACTTGCAACCCTGCAGAAGAAGACTTGGAAAAAGAAAGAAGTTTTGAGAGAGAGAGAGAGAGAGATGTTGAGGAACGTGTTATATTATTTTTTATTAATAATTGTTATAATTTCATCCACGGCCGTGATTGTATCATCATCAAGAGAACAGCTAAGCTCAAAGCAATGTGAGGATCTGGGCTTCACGGGTTTAGCCCTTTGTTCTGATTGCAACACTTTCTCTGAGTATGTCAAGGACAAAGGTATTGAATTAACCTCATTTTTTTAAAAAAATATACTTTTTGTTAAACTTTTTAACTTGGGTTTTCCAATGGTATGCTGTTCTAGCGCTTTGTTTAATTAATATTTGGAAATTTTAAGGTTTCGTGTGTTCGGTGAATTCCTTGTATGGATTTTGGTGTTTTCTGTTGGGGTTCCCTTTTCTTTCTGGGTTTTGATTATTATGGAATTAGAGGGCTTTGTCTGATCTTAAATTGGCCAATGATGCATCAATTTTGATACTTTTGCTGGTTGACTGTAGTGCAGTTCTATTCAGTGTAATAAGGTCAAACTTCAATTGTGAATTTAACTTCACTTTGAGGTTTTTTTTTTTTTGTTATTTTAACTATAGATAAATGAATACTTTAGGTTTGATCTAATGGGTTTTCTCCTCAACCTCAAAATTTTTAATTATGGTCCTTACTTCATTAAAACTGAGCTCAAGTTCGATTGCCGTGTATGCAAGTTATAGATATTTTCTTCAATAGAGTTCAATGTTGTACTAAATGAAGGCATACAGCAGAGGGAGAGATAAAAGAGCAAATATGATATTTTCGCTGCGGTGGCTTTCTTAGGAGTAAGTCTACGATAGAACAATTCAATTAATCTACCTTGAGTGACAAAAAAGGAATATTATGTCTAACTCAATTTCTGCATATCGCGGCCCATGACACTGCCTCATAATTTTACTGCTTTATGATGCCCCTGTCATTGATATGGTAAATGGGGAGGAGTCTGCAGAACCATAGCATAATAGTGCTTACCGTTGGGAAAACTTGGTGTGATTTGGCAACATATCATTGTGTGCAATGCGGTTAATTAACAAAAAATTAGTGAGACTAGACATTTGAAAGAACATAGCTGTCTGGCATGTTTACATGACATATTGAAGTTTTATGAAAAGAGGAAAAAAGTTGCATATTGAACTCAAGACAAAAGACTACTCAACTGGCAAATGCACGACTAATATATATGTTTTGATGGCAGAGTTGATATCTGACTGCTTGAAGTGTTGTACAGAAGACTCGGATGATTCCATTAGTAAGGTATGTAACATGCTTTGTAGATGATTTTTTATTTTTGGTGCCAGGGACGGCTTTAAATTTTCAGCCACCCATGTCTGTTTTTCAAATCTCTCTTAATCTTCATCCTCCCTTCTTATTTTTTTTTTATTTTCTTTGAAAAAAAATGTTTTTTGTCACAATGTTTTCTCTATTGAGCATAGTGGGAGATTGCATTCAGTTTCCTTTCAGATTAGATCAAGAGTTGTGTACTATTTTTTCACTTTGATTGTGGAAAGGGAGGATGTAGCTGTTTAGCAAAAGAGTTAATGGAGTTTTATATTCTTATTGAATCTCTAGCAAGCATATTCTTTAGTATATAATATACAACTGCAAATACTACTGATAGCATGACACTGTTTCAGACCATAGTAAATATTATGAGGTAAAGTTTCTTAGTGGACTTTGCATGTGTGAACCTGTAACACGTCTCATCTTTTTTTCCAACATGCCTTTTACCAGCTATTGTATTCTAGGTCCATCAATGTGTGTCATTGAACTACTAATTCCCCAACTATAGTTATCTTTAAGTGCAAGAACCCCCATATTTCTGACTTGCACATAATCTTGCATTTCTTTGGTCTTCTGTATTTAATTTTCCTCTTCTCCTCTCTTTCAGGAAAGGGAACAGTATTTATTCCCAAAAAAAGAAAGGGGGAAAGGGATAGTGATACTGATATATAAAAGAGATAGCGATATGTTTGATTGTTCTCAATTGCCTGTTTTATTTTTCAGTGGGAATATATTGTTTATTACTTTTGGTATTGCATGCTGTGGTGTTTTTTAAAAAAAAAATTTCTAAATTTACACCTAAATTCAATCAAATTGCAGATTACCTATTCAGGTGCAATACTGGAAGTGTGCATGAGGAAACTGGTATTCTATCCCGAAATTGTTGGTTTCATTGAAGAAGAGAAGGATAAGTTCCCAACTGTTAAACTTCAATATCTTTTCAATTCTCCACCCAAGTTGATCATGTTGGATGATGAGGGCCAACATAAGGAAACTATAAGGTTAGGTGCTTCTGTTAATGCAGTTAGCTCATGTTGAACTCTTGAGATGCAATATTTAAATAAAGAGGAATTTACTTGGACAGATATGCTTTCACCAAACTGATGATAATGCTCACAATTTTAAGTTTGGTATTTTCAACTCAACATTCAAGCATGTTCATCCTTACCCTGCCCCGTCTATTTTCTCCCTCTTTCCCTGATTCCCAAACTATTTAGAAAGAAACCATATAAAGAGATATGACCTTTGTTTATGCAATAAATCTCATCTCGTTAGCCCCCAGATCTGCATAGCATGCAGAAATGCAGTTGAGGTTGAGGATGACCATTCTATTATGACTTTTAAAATCCAGCCTTGTTAGGACTTGGAAAATAACAGCTCTCTCATCTCTTTTTAGTTTGCATTATTCTTGCTTACATTTTGGTGAAAATAATGAGACTCCTCATTATTCATTCTGTCATTCTTCTACAGAATCGACAATTGGAAACGCGAACACGTGCTGCAGTTCCTGCAAGAGAAAGTCAAACGTAATTCGGCAAGCTCATAGACTGATTTATTCATTCACACTCCAGTTCTTGCAAGAGAAAGTTAATTTTAATTCGGCAAGTTCATTGAGTGATTTAATCTTGTTAGACTTTGTCATTTTTACATCATGTGCTTAATTATGACTTAATAATTTCCTTTCTTTAGAAAGAGAACGGACAACAAATGGAGTATACAGTTAATTAGATACTACTATGAAGTGAAGTGACATGAATTAAAGCTGGCCCCCTTTTAAAGTAAGGGCTTATTCATTGTGCCTCTCAATGGGATTTAAATTATATGGGATTAGCTGTGCTTTACTGTTGATGAAAAGTTGATAACATTTGCTGTCCTGTCATGGATGCCCCCCTAACCACCTTGTTGTTGATGCTCTGCTTCACCGTTTAAGGGAAGGATTACTTCTTCTGGTTATTATTTTTATTTAACTTTAATATTTCTCTTAATTGTTAACAGAACAATGTAACAAAAAAATCAAAATGAAATTACTTAAAAATGTTAAAGAATTCAAATGAAACAATTCAATGATAAAGATTTAAAGTAAGATCAGAATAAAATATTAGGAACTAGGGATAGAATTTACCCCTTCCCGGTGCAAATATTTGCATGCATGTATGATACTAATGTCTCTGAAGTAGTGATGAATCTAAGTGATTAAAGGGTAATTATTAAAATAATCATATTATATATCAAATTTTATACATATAATAATGAAAAATATTAAAAATTGTGGCGTTGCATTAATCAAGAGTTTAACAATAAGCATGGAACTCACTGCTGAAAATTGGGAAACCATAAGGCACCTAGGTCTACGGATACAAACTCGTGGGGTCTGCTGACAATCGGTTTTTTATTTTTATCATTTTGGTTCCAAGACGGGGAATTATGGACAGGCAAAAAACGAAAACAGCCCCACCAGGATGCATTTACTGGGTGTTTTTGGTTATATAAACTTTAAATCTTTTAGACTTTCGGGCATTTTAGGTGGTGACTGGTGAGACTTAGGACAGGTTATGCAACCATGGCCATGCGATACATAGGGAGGATCTTTCGTGGTGCCAGTGGTCAGCTCAATGTCGAATATTGTCAACCTGAAAGGGTCCCTTGCGTGAGCAGTTATGCATGAATGTCTGATGGTACTGGTCCATGACTCGAATCATCGAACGGTGTGACTGACAACTGGTAAAGAAATGCCATCGATGGAGACATGCATTCTAATACCGGTGAACTGTACCTGCAAAGCAACTTTCAACAGCAGAGTGGAAAACTTTGACCTAAGGGCAGCAGGCCAAACCGTTCATTAATGCCATCGTTGAAGTTTAAACACACTGCCAACCCTCCTGGTTCGGATCGTTTTCACTTCGCTCATAGCGTGAATGTGTTTCAAAGAGACTGACCAAGACTTGAATCCGTTTCCCCAACATGGCTTTCACATTCCAACCCTGTTTTGAGAGGCAAGGCTTACTTCATAGGACAACCCCCACTGACCATAGCCTCACACATTAACTAGCTGGTACCATGAGCATTTGGAGAAGATCAAAAAGAAGCTCAGAAATACCTAATTCTCCTCTCCCGTCTGGTCATGACTGGTGAGATTTTGCAATTACATGCAACTTCTTCATGGCAAATCCATGCCCAATATAAGCATTGAGAAATTAAGTTCCCAACGAACTTTGCAACCCCAACACATTCTTCAAGCAATGCATAAAATAAGTCATGCAGTTGACAAGAACTCAGTGATCCCTTAAAAAGAGAGGGCTATATTAACCATGGAATTCCCTTCCTATATTCATAGATACAATTTAAAGCAGTTATTCAACTCAGGTTCATCAATATACATTTTACATGACTTGATCAGGAGAGCACAAGAAGATTTTGTAATTGAATAGCTTGAATGCAGCTTGTTCCCAGCACCAGCTTAAAACTAGAAAGGTGCAAGGCTGCATTTAGATACACAATTCTCCCAATCAAAGACTAGTAATTTTGCCTACCAGCATCCTACCTTAGTGCATCACGCTATAAATTTCTGTTACAAAGTTGCATCTGCCTGGGAAAATTTTGTGCATTCAACAATAAGTTGGTTACCTTCTAAACCAATTCTAGTGGATTTAAAATCCTTCCAGTTGCTGTGAAATAAAATGTCAATTGAATTGTGAGATAGCCTTGTCAAACTTCGGAGATGTGGTCTTGATGGGTGCCCAAATATCCGCACCATTGCTGCGAGCAACTCCAGCAGTACAAGAGATTGGAACAAGGCATAAACCTCGGCTTCTCAGGCTATAATGCTCTACATCCTGGAGGAAAAATCAAATCCCTTTAAAGCAAAATCTTAACTTATTCGAATGATGATTCCCTAATGAATGTCTCTATAGTGTGTCAACATAAAAGGCGTTCCAACAACACATAGAAATGCTCACCTGCATATTGTTTGTTGGTGCCGTTTGGAGATATGGAGCACTTAACACCTGAAACCACCCCAAAACACAAATGCCAAGAAATTTAAAGTTAAATTTGCATTTTTACATAAAAGTAAATTTCTCTACACAAAAAAATTTCTGACGGCACATTTACAAACTTCATACGCCTCTCTGACTCAAATACCACAAGCATACCACTGCACACTTGGTCTTAGCCATTATGATGTTCTAATGATCTTTAAAAGGAGAAAGAGTACATTTCTATCAATTTTCACTCCTCTTTTCTTGCTTTTCTTTGCTATTCACTTTTATTCCCGCTTCGAAAATTGCTGAGTCCAAAAAGAGATATAAGACCAACTGAACGACCAAGAGCTTCTCCTAGACATACTTAAGTTGTTCGCAGCTTGAATCTTTTAAAATTATAAGATGAAATTGTTCAACTTTCAGAGCCAGACAGAGACTGGAACTGTTGAAGCTCCCAGGTTGCATAATTAAATATGAAAATAAATCAACACAGCATAAGCCCAATCTAACAATCTAAACACTTCTAGACAGTGTATTTAATTGAAGTATGTGATTGGTGATCTTTGGAAGGATGCATTTAAAATTTGCAATTAGTACCAACTAACAGGCATGCAAGGATAATTTAGGTAAATAAGCAAGAAAAACAACCTTGACTTGTTCATGAAGAAATCGTATGTACTCCATTGCCTCCAGGAGGACAGAAGCAGTATCTGTCTGCGATTGAAACAGAGCTTTACAGTTATAGCAAATAGGCAACATCATTATAAGCCATATAAACGCTAAAATAACAACCAGATTAGCATAACCATTGAAGTTTTTAGCAGATTAAACATATTAGACTTGACATTCAAGTCTAAACATTGATCCAGTACTAGCACAAAATAAAGTATTGCCACTCCAATGTAAACAACTAATTGTTGAATGTACCTTTCCATATGGTGAAACAAGCTGCTGCAGAGCGACAATGCGTTCACCAAGCTTCTCTTTCCTATCCTATTGCCAAAAAGAGTAAATTAAGATTAATATTAGCAACAGACACATCATAGGTACATTGCACTTAGTTTTGTACATAGTGAAGAAATGAAGAGATAACCAATAATTGATAAATAAGCAATGACTGAAAATGCATTTGGACCAATCTTTAGGAGAAAATGCCTTCCTAAAATAAGTTAAAAAAGAATACAAGCTACACCAAGAAGATATAACTAGGTATCTTGTTTGAAAGAAATGTTGACTGTCAAATAAAAGTTTGCATAGGTTTTCAGCACAAGAAAACAGAAATGGGTTGGTGAGGATTTGGGTAGAGAAACTAGATTCAAGCCTTAGTACGCTCCACTTGAACTAAAAGGTATATGGTAGCCTCATTAGTGGCATGTTAAATTCTATTCTCGGAACTTAGGTACAGGAAATTCACATGAATGTCAAACATGAGACTTGACATTTTCACTTGTCAAAATTAAATTAAAATCAAGCTTTTAAGGTTTCATTTTCACTGCTATCTGAAAACATAGCAGTTGGCTGTTCTCACATAATCCTTCAACTGTTGTACTGATTCAAATAGCTTCAAATCAAAGTTTATACATAAACAAATCTACTTCAATCAGTATACTGCACTGAAATGTCCAAAAAAAATAGAGCATAACCAATAGGATAAACTACTAGATATTTTGAGAAGAGATAATTGGTAAGAACCAAACAGATGGGTGACCTAGAAATAAAAGGGCATAGCATAGAAAGTTACATGTAGCTAACCCCATCTAATGGGGATTAAGCTATAGTCAAACTGAACTGAGTTGGGTGCCCCATCACTCTCGATACAAGATGTTCCTTTGGTATAGTGATGAAATGAATGTGGAAGACTATATATTCACTGATGGGATATTTGAAGAGAAGTTAAGAAGGCTAAAAACCTTTGTGGAGATAGATAGATCAGCCTTTTGCCGTTTGGATGCCAAAGAAGTGAAACTGCTATGGTCAACAGAGCAAGGGCTCCTTTTGTTTTCCATCATCTTTCCGATCTCTCTCCCTTCTTCACTAGTTAAAAAGAGAAAAACAAAAAAAGAATCACACACTGAAATAATAACAGACAACAAACATAGCAAGGTCATCCATCTGACCTCATTCAGCCAGCTGAACAGTCATGAAAAGGATAATCAAAGATATCCAAGACAGTAAGTTAACTAGATTGGAAGTCCAAAATTACTATAAAATATTCATTGCGAAAGCAGAAGATCATTTAATCAACAATTTTAAACTTTGAAATCATGGGCGTGTTAGTAATATGACATGAAATCATCTATATAAGAATAATTAAATCAATAGTTGAAACTTTCTTTGTATACTCCATAAACTTTAACCTCAGTCATTTAACAATAGAAAATGCAAGAGCAAAACGAAAACAACAACCAATACCCATTGAGGGTGGTCAAATGAATTAAAAGGAAAAGAAAGAAAGACAGTCTAAGCTAAGGTTACTCACATGCTCCAGCTAGTTCTTATTTACCAGAAGAACTTAAAAGGCAGAACAAAATGCCCAAAGACCAAAGAATATTGAAAAGTTTTAGGCCTTCTTAAAAAGGGTGATCGTTCCCTTTGCCATTGGACATTGGATAAAAGCACCAAGACACATATAAGCGGCAAAAGACCACCCCTGAGGTGAGAGCGTAGAAGAAATTTGATACTGCAGTTGACCATTAATGAAACTTATTTTGGTAGCAGCATCAAAGGCAGAACACCTCCAATTTGAGCATACAAATGAGCTTAATCTCATCATCAGTGCACACCTTTAAAAAATCAAATTTTATATAAGCTGCACGAGACTCCATTGAATTGTCAATATGATAACCCCAAAAACATGCACTTCCATGGTCAGCGGGTAATACTCCATTTATATACCAGTAGACATATAATTTTATAAACATCCATTCATTAATATAATTACAACAACACAATTAAAAACAATATCACCTTACTTAAATAACTGTAGGCTTAGAAACAGACAACAGTTGCAAGAATCAATGAAAAACACTGTAACCTACTTACATAAAAAATTGAAACAATAGCCCAAAAAAAAAATAAATAATGTATGGAATAAGAATAAGACTATACACCAGCAATACGTCATAGACACAAACTTACAAACCAGTACCATCATTTCATTAATCACGCCAAGCGCAATAATCAATTGATGGTGGAAAAAGCTCCAAGCTTCAGATAAGTACCGTAATATAGATGACTATGGCAAAACCACAGTGAAGATTGCTATGTGTGATTAACTAATGAATGATCTTTTGTGGGCCCAGAAGATGAAGAAAGTACCTTAATATAGATGAATATGCATGAATGAACCATAAATACATCTAATTTGCATTTGTAATTTTCTCATTCCTTCAGTTTAATTCCAACACAACTATGACTAAACAAATATTCCAAGGTAACATTCAATGAAAAAGGATATAAAAGAGAAAGATCAAGAAAATAAAAGCAAGAACTCTAAATTTCGTGGAAAACAGAGTATCATTCATAAAAAAAAACAAAGAAAAAAGTTAATGGGTACATAAATATTGAATTAACATTAGCAACAATTAAACAAAGCTTCTTTAAACCAGAAGAACAACTTAAGAAACCAAAAGGAAACACATATAGGAGTTCAGCAACTCACCAAGAACATAAAGTCTGCATTGCCAAAACAGCTTAAAGCAAAATCTCAAGCCTTACACTACACGTCAAAAATCTTCAAGACCCAACTCAAGAAAGCACCCAAATTCAACAAAAACTTTATAAGGCAAAAGCCAAAGTTAAAGGCTTTATGCTTCAACTTTCATTATTTTCAACAAATATCACTAACACCCCAAAGTCCAAAAGTCCGTTCAGTTCTATCTTTCTTCAACAAAACATCAAAAACAGCAAACTTTTTTTTAAGGCTAAAACTGAAACTTCATCGCCAAAACTTGTCAGTTCTTGCGTCAAAAAGTTGAAAATCTCAATGAAGAATCAAAAAAATTTAATCCAAAAACTGCAAAAGTTGGCTTAAACCCAACACTGCTGAACGCTCAGAGAAGCCGAGCAAGAGGCTGTGTAAGCAAAAGAAGAGGCTTGGGAAGAAGAGGGAGAAGAAATGGGGCTTGTGAAAGAGTTTTTATAAGGTTTTTGAAAGCAATAAAATAAAGAGATTTGTGTAAGGAAAATCAAAAAAAGGAAATTTTTGAAAGAGGGGAAACTGTGTGAATAGTATGTTCTTGTTTTCTTATTTGACAGCTAATATCCAACCATGCAAGGAGCCAAAGAGAGATGGAGTGGTTGATTTAAGCTTTAGATTTATTGTCCGTTTTTCTAACCATGGTTGAAAGTGACTTATGAAAACGCTCAACACTCTCCTTTATTTCGCT